CCCTTCTTCATTTCTGAAGAAGGGTTTAGGCCCGAAACGTCAGCCTTCCTGCTCCTCTGATGCTGCTTGGCCTGCTGTGTTCATCCAGCTCTACACCTTGTTATCACAGAAATAGGCCATTCAGCTTTCAAGCCTGCTCCACCATTCAATTAGATCATGGAAAAGCTCAGCAGGTCCAGGGCATCTGGGGAGAGAAATCAGAGTAATGTTTCGGGTCCAATGAGCCTTCCTCAGAACAGTTCTCAGAGTTAACATTTCATTAAATCAGAAAAATGTTAACTCTGATTTCTCCCTGCAGATGCTGCCAGACTTGCTAAGTTTTCCCAGCAATTTCAATTTTTGTTTCTGATTTCCAACATCCACAGTTCTTTCAGTTTTTGGTAAGAATCAATATGCCTTAAAGATATTGAATAACTTCCATCTTTTGGGAAGAGTTCCAATGCTGCCCATCCCTCTGAGAAAAAACTTCTTAGTTTCTGTCCTAAAAGAGTAATCCTAATTTTAAAACCATATACCCTTTTCCTGGACTTTCCTCACAAGATTAAACATCTTTTCCACCTTGTCAAGGCCATTCAGGATGTTGTAAATTTCAATCAAATCACTTCAAGCTTTTTTCAACCTAAGTGTAAAACAAGCCCAAATTGTCAATTTTTTTTACACATAACAAACAATGCAGATGGACATATCAAGAAAATGAGTGTGGGTGTGGGGTGATGGTAGGTGGTCATGCAGTGTAATCTCTAGGACTATGTCCAAACAGAGTTGGCAACTGTAATGACTGGAACCAGGTGGACCTCATTGACTACGAGGTCCTTGATTGGGGTTATTAACCTGGGCCAATCGGGAAAGCCCAGGCTGCCCAGTATTAACAGGAGATTTAGAATCTCCTCAGTTCAGGGGACTGACTCTGAGCTGGCAGTCCACAGCCAGTGTACTGTACACAAGTAACTAAAGAGTGACTTGGTGACAAGATACCAGCCTCTATGCAGTTATTTCAGTAGTGACGGGAGAAAACATTACGTGCCTGAAGAACATTCACTTGCAAAGTTATCTTGGAGTTGGGGTAAGTATTTCTGGCATCATGCCTTTATTTGGGAAGCCTGATCCTGCTGTTTGATCCTGCTGTCAAAGACTAGACCTAGTATATGGAAAGAATGCATTTTCTTTTCCAGGCAAATGACACTGGGGCAGATGAAAAGCAATGAGTAATCCTTCTGACTACTTGTGGACCTGCAGCATTTTTGGTTATAAGGGGCTTAACATTCCTAGAGATACCAGACACCAAAACTTTCCAAGAGTTAACAGAGTTGGTTAAGGAATATTATTATTGCAAACCTCCTCTAATTCTGAGATTCTATTGGTTTTATTTGGCTGTTAGAGAACCAGGGGAATCGTATCAGGATTTTTGACAAGGTTGAGACACTAGCAAAGGCATGTGATTTTGAGTTAACCCTGAATGAGAT